TCCTCGGGAGAGGATTAACAACAAAGAGATGAATGGCTTGAACTTTAATTCAATTCACCACTTGCCATCATATCCAGTTCACCTTTCCAGGGGCGTGGAAACCTGTAGAACACGTTTCTCAGGCTTCTGTCAGCTGGCTTCTGCTAAGGGGAAGCCCACACCGCACCCACCCATGGGAGAAAGGGGAGTGTGAGGTTGGGAGAAGCCAGAGCCTTTGCTCCCTCCCTATCCCAGGGGGCTCCTCCGGTGGAGGCTAGATTTCCTCCCTGGCGCCAACCCCGCCAGATGGGCCTACTGAGGTTTCTTCTTCTGCTGAGTAGCCCCAAACGCTGTGACCTGAAAGTCACATACTTTGATCCGTCTCCTAATCTATAGGATGGGATCTGTGTAGGATGTGATGATGTGACCTGCTCACATCATCCAGTTGTTTCACAAATAAAATTTTCATGTCCATGAACATGTGAAAAATAAAGTGCTGGACAAACAAGGTACTGGAGGGTATACAAAATGAGGCAACATGGCGCAGCAGGAAAGAAAAGGAGACTGGGGATCCTAACTCTCGGGTTCAGGATCTTGCCCTGCCACCAACTTATCCAGGCAACACCGTGTTCTCTGTTTTCCCAATCTGTAAGCTGGAGATAAAACACTGTGGATAGTGGAGTGCTTGCAGCGGCACGAATGAGAATATCTGTGAAGATGCAGATGGTCAAGTGTAAAAAGCTATCCAAATGTTAAATGAATTCACTAGTTATAAGCAGAAAAAAAACTTTATTTCTATCAAATCAAAAAGTTTGAATAAGCTTCAAGCAAGATAGTAAAAATAATAATACAATGAACAGTTAGAACACTTACAGATTCGGTCTCTATAGTCTGCATTAAGCACATATACCCAAATCAAGAAGGCCGAGGGCTCTCCCTGAGGGAAAGCACTGACTCATCGTAAACACGTGACTTCTGGGAAAGCGAGCTGAGGGTTCACAGGGCAGTAAACCAGAGACAAGTTGTCCTTGGGTTGGAGAACTGATTTGAGCGTGAGAGGGATCACAGTGAAATGCCATTGGAACTCAATTTCCCCCAGAGATCTGTTCATCTCAAAAACAAGAGTATATAAAAATCAGTAGTACAAATTCTCCTAAAACCAGAAAGGCCCTCTGACCCCTGACGCCTTGGAGCTAACATAAAGACTGAGTTTTTGTTTTTCTTCCCTTTTCTATAAATCAGATACAATTCAGTTTGTTTTTATTGAGTACATTTCTGACTGTATAGCCAAAGCTTTAAAATAAAGAAAAAGTTTTGATGAAATGGAGTTAGACACACACTAACGCCAGGGAGAATTATGTGGGTGCACCGATGTTTTAAGCAGGAAATCTTTTCTTTCAAAGATACGGAACTTCTTGGGACAGCCTAATTATCACTGAGGAATGAAATGGAGTTAGACACACACTAACGCCAGGGAGAATCATCTGGGTGCACCGATGTTCGAAAAGTTTTAAGCAGGAAATCTTTTCTTTCAAAGACACGGAACTTCTTGGGACAGCCTAATTATCACTGAGGAGGGAAGGAATATCCATGCCACACAAGAGCTTTCTCCTTTTTGGAAATGTTTTACCATCCCTATCTCTTTGTCATTCTTTCTCACACACACAGTAATTAGATAATGGCATTTATTTTGGCAAGAACTGTGCAATTTGCTAAAAGAAAGATAAGATATGGCACTTATAAACAATTGTAATTATAATACATCTCAACAGGTGCAGGAAGCAGATATTTCTTCATGGCTGAAATATGGCCTCATGGGTCCCCGACATCTGGGTCTTGCACACTTCTCCCCTGGAAACCAGACTGGGCCCGTTATGTACGGAAAGGGGTGATAACTTAGGACCAGACCACATTCTTCTCTTGAGACACCAATCAGACACAAGGGAGTTACTCAAAATGGAGGGGAAGAGAGAAGCAATTCCTACCGTGAACATGATCTGCCTTATGAATGGCCTCTCCGGCAAAATTAACTGCAGCAAGAAAATGTAACTGCTGTCTGTTCACGGAAAGGTGATAAGCAAAATTCATCAGGTAGATACGGATGCCTCCCAGGATCCTGTAACGCAGGCAGAGCACAGATGAGACATATGCCCTCTGTGTATACAGTGTGCAACTACCACTGGGACCCAGGGAGGGCCCATGTCCTGTCTCAGCACCAGAGTGCCAAAAGCAAAGGTGCCAGGCGGGAGCAAATACGTTGCTTTACCTACTAATGAGAATGGAGAGCTCAAACTAAAGAAAGGTACCAAAAAGGCCATTTTTCATTTCCTGATTAATCCCTATAGGTCCATGAAAACAGTTCACGTAAACCGGATTATTTCAGTTCTTAAATACAAGGAGGCAAGGTAATTGAAATATCTATCATTTAGGGTAATTGTTAAGGATTTAATTAGACAATGCATGTAAAGCGCTTAGCATGAAATAGCAATAACCAGCAACTGCTCAGAATGCCTATACCATAACACTTGGAAATTTGTGATGTTTATGATTTGAGCAAATACCCCCAGCATGCCGGTAAATTGTTTAGACAAACTGCTCAAGTCAAATACGGAACGTAGGTTCCAGTAAATTAAATTTTGTAAAAGCCCTATGTATGGATTTGCACAGGTGTCTTTCTAACATTATTGTCTCAACATTTTGAGTGGCAGAAAAAGCCACAGCAGTACCTCTCACCCATTGCTCCTTTCCTTTCCCTTCCCAATGGGGGTTGGGGGTCAGGTAGGGAAGGGGGGAGGAGGGGGGCACATCTGAGTGTGGCTCCTGGAGGGGGACAGGGAATGACCTGGGGAAGGTGGGGAACACAGGAAGCCAGTCTCCCTCCTGAGTTGGCCAAAACTGTGTATAAGCAGCGCCACCACATCAGATGGCAGGCTAAGGTGTGGATTTGGCATTCAGAATCCTGGTGATATAATACAGAGAGATGGTGTAAAGTCAGGGTTACCCTGTGTAGGTGCACATCACCATTGGTTCACCTGCCAGCTCTTTAGGAAGGACCAGTTTATCAGGGCCTTGTCTGGGGTCACAGCGAGCGCTTTGTTCTAATCTCAGAAAAGAAGTGAGGCTCCCAGGAGCCCTGACCTACCTGTGAGCACCATGGGTGAGGGTGGCTAAAGGGTAATGGTCCCTTTAAGGGCTTAAAACCATGGACACAAAAGGGTTGGTGAGGGACATGAGCTTCCCTTCTCCATAGATTAGCCAGGACTCAAGCCAGCCTATAGTACATGAACAGCCTTTTATTTTGTCTATAAATGAATAGTTTCGGAGGAGTATCAAGGCTCAGACTTTCCTCTAGCAGTTTCCTTTGCGTAAGCAAAGGGAAAACTAAGAACAGTACCATGTAAAGCGGAATGTCACGTAGGGGACCATTTTTTATGTGAGGCCACTCTTAAATACAAGACAAAAACAAGCAAGCTCGCTCAGGAAACAGGTGGTTGACATCCAGGAGCAAACTCCGCTGCAGAGTCAGGAAAGCCTGAGCGTGAGTCCCGGCTACAGTTATTGGCAGCAGGGGCCTGGGCAACACGCCTCACATCTCTGACCTTGCCTTCTCTTATCAATGTGGGAGCGTGCCTATCTCACAGGATGCTTGAAAGATGAAGTACAGGGTGGGTCACAGTTGTGAGGGCATGAAAGTTTGTTCCTGTATTATTTATTATTGTATTATTTTCCATGAACAGCTGTAAACCTATTTTTGCCCCACCTTGTATTTATAAAGGCCCTGAGACTGCACATGCCAGTCAGTAGGCCTTTGATAAATGGTACCTCTTTTATGCTTGCATTAAAGTTAATGGGTATTAAACACAGCAATGTTTAAGTTCTGAACAAGCGGGCCACCTGTCAGGATAATGGAGAGAAAGTGAATTCAGAGCTGGTTAGAACCACCGCATGTGAGGACAGGGGGGAATCTCAGACTATCCAAACGATTTCTGCGTAACAGGGAAGGAGCTGTGTGTGTGGCAGTAGAATGAAAACCAAGAAAAGCTGTCCCTTGGATTTTACTTTTCACAAAATATTTTCCAAAACAATTTTTAAAAATTTTTTTTACAAAATCATTGAAGGAGTGTGTTGAAGAAAACCAGGAATATATATATATTTAGGCCACTGAGCATGAAACAAGCATCGTCTTCCAAAGACCATGGAAAAGGTGTGTGACTTTTTTTGGTCTCACCTAGCAAAGGGCCACCCCGGTTGGTGGGCAGTCTCAGAAACAGCCAACACTGTGAGACACAGTGTCACAGGCTGTAGTTGTTATTTTGCTGGAAGGGAGAGGAGAGTGAAGGATGGAGGAATATGGAATTAGTGAGCAGGTCATTTCCTATCCCTTCCCCAAAGAGGCCAAAGGCAATAAGTCCACTGAAGTCCCTCCCAGGATAGTAAAGGACCCTCGCTGGGAGTAATCACAATGCATGAAGAGGGATATTTTTTAAGGCAACAGGATTAAACTTCATCATTCTTCCCAGAGGAGAGCAAGAATTATACAAGGTGGCCACCAAGTCTGGAAACCAAGCAAAGCGTTAACAAGTGATTTATTGATATTACATTACAGTGAATGACAAAATAGTGCTATCCGTCTTTTTAGACTTTATGGCCACCCTATAGAATCTTTGGAATAGAAAAAAAAAATTAAGATTTTGTTTTCTCGTCATTGTAAAGCTGTCATCCTGAGTCTAGGCACAGCTAGTGCAACATGTTTCCGCAACCCCACAGGCTCCATTCCCTTCGCCAACACTTTACTCACAGGAGAAAAACACTGTCGGCATCAACATTTAGCAGCATTTTCAAAATTCATTTTTTTTTATCTTGAATAAAAAGTAAACAATTCTTTTAGTCCAGTAACTCCCTATGGTCTTAATTACATCTAGTACATAAGATATGATCTTTTAACATTTATGTAGGTGAATATTTCTTTGGGGATTTACAAGGATGAATCTTTTAACATTTATGTAGGTGAATATTTCTTACTTTGGGGATTTACAACGATGATTTTTTTTTTCCACCAAAAAAAAAAAAAAAAAAAAAAAGGAACAGTATCCACCCATGAGAGTCAGATCAGCAGTGTAAAGTAGACCCTCAAAGAGCTCAGTTCTGGTGCATCGAGTGATCTGACATCATCCCCTAGCTCTCAGCTCTTACAGAGGAATCTCAGCGGGCTCAAAGCAGTATCTGTAGGGAGAAAGGGAGGGGAGGCAACAGATGTTTAAAAAACAATAACAAGGACACCATCTAATAAAAACAGCAGAAGCCAAATCCTTTCATTCCAGGATGTCTGAAGGGCAGAGCTTCTATGGAGCATGGATGCAAGGGAGATGCCTCTCCTAACAAAAAAAAACAATAAGTTGTGGGTACAGTCACTCAAAGTCAGAGAAGCGACCACTGCGAGCAACTGGCTTCAACCTCCTTGTCTCCAGGGGAGGACATACCAGAGAACGTGGACAAAGCCCGGGCTACAGCCCTGGGCATCCTCAGGCCACTGGTGCTGTGGTTCAACAGCCTTTAGGGGGTGGGGAGAACCAAGAGACCACCACCACCATATGCAAAAAGGCTGCCACTATGGCAACATGAAGATCAAAAATCAGCTAGAGCTTGGGCTATACGGCATTTGAAATCCAGCCTGTCCTTGTTTTCTGGCGAAGGGCTTGACGGGCGTGTGCAGAGGCATCTTCAACATGTGCAGGTGACCCTTCTTTCCGAAGGGCAGAGAACAGCCTCTTCATTGCCTCCTTTCACTCATTAGTTTTCATATCAGTTCATCATTGAAACTAGAAAAGATACTGCAAGCTATCTCAGCTGGCTTCTACTGGGGACCATACTACACATACAACTGAAACATCTGGAGGGAGAAGCACATCTTCCTGGTTCTTCCCCTGGCCGGGCTCAGCATGCTTCTCTGGACTGAATCGGCGTGATCTTGTTCGAGAAAACCGTGTAAACACAGGGCCAGATTTTGTCAGTGTCCGTTCCAGAAAACTGGTGGAGCACTCCTCGGGACCTGAAACACAAAGCCCAGCACACACAGGCATTGCAGGTAAAAGGCAAGCACAATCTCAGAGTCTCTATCACACGCTGCAAAGCGTCCAAATGGCCCCTTCAATGTTATCAGCACCCCGCTCTGTGGTGTCTAAATAAGGCCATAGCTTTCACAATTCTGGCATGCTTGCTACCATGCCACCTTTTCTTCTCCCCTTTAAAACATATCGAAGAGCATGACTCTTTGGGGGACAATCCCAAGTCTGCCTCATGACACATTTCTGAAAAGGGAACCACGGACAAGATTTCGTACTCTAAAACCCAAATTACGACCATGATCGTGAAATATGGAATGAGTCACAGTAATCTGATCAGGAACCTCTGACCTAAATGATGGCTAAATTGTTTGGAGGCTACAACGTCAGAAAAGGACCATAGCAGGCAGGTCCGCACACGGGTTTCATTGTTGCTAATATAAAAATTGGGAATTTTTCCACCCAAGAGCCAGATGTCTGTTTCTCTTGAAAAACAGGAATCATTGGTCACACGGAGCCTGGGGGGACCCCTGTGGTGATAACTGACTGGAGCTGCATAGAAGCCATACAGTTCAACTGCCACTCAACTGCCCCTGCACACCCCCACTCCCACCCCCCCCCCCCCCTGCCACCCCCTCTGTTGACTTCATTTCCGGGACCTGCCTGGCCCCTGTAGCCATTTGAATTTGCAATCCACAACTTACAGTTTTAGTTTATCTTTGTAAAACTCCTTCTAGACACATCTAGGCCAAAAGTCCCATCTAACCTTGTATCCAAATAAGATATATATGTGTGGCATTTTCATTTTTCTTTTTTAAGTGGCTGAAATAATGCTTTACATTTTGACACTAAGTCTAGATGCAATTTCTAACTGGACAGGGATGATCAGGTGTCAGAGCCTGTACTGGGCGTTGTCTCCCACCAACAACTCCAGCATTTCATCCTGGGAATGTGCTAGGCTTTTAGGGCTTATCTAGCTGAAAGAAACATCCCCCACCTCTACCCAAGGCCCACCAACAACTCCAGCATTTCATCCTGGGAATGTGCTGGCTTTTAGGGCTTATCTAGCTGAAACATCCCCCACCTCTACCCAAGGTCCTCCCCACGAGGCTCCACACCTCTCTAACTGGCCGACTGCCACGAAAACACTGAAGCGCACTCACTTGTAGAGTTTAACCACCGGCTTGGCCACCTCCTTGTACTGTCTTAGCCTGACGTTGACTGCTTCCGGCTTATCATCCTCCTGCTGGACCAGCCGTTCACCGGTGACGTCATCAACCCCCTACAAATGCCAGAGAAACCAGTTAATATGGGCATCGGTTGGGTCATTCCATAGTAAAACACTTTCCTGTGACAACCATGTCTTCACCTTTGATTCCCACCACATAATGGGTTAGGCCTGGGCACCAGTGGTAACAGGGAAGGCACCTGAAAAGAAATGGCACTCTTAACAGCATGTAAGCCCTACTTCATGAGAGCTGACATTAAATCTTTATTAACTTCTCAGATCTTTCCAAGCGGGTTCCTGTGCTGTTGATAAATGATACCTTCAATTCAGTTTAAATTTCCACGCAGCCTCCCTCTGCCAACAAGCAACCTTTCAACAAAATGGAGATGCTCTCTAAAGCCTGAGTTCTTAATATAGAAAATGAAATGTTTCAAGGAGCCAACTGGTTTACTTAGGGAAAGCACTAACTGAGAAGATCATTTCAGTCCTGCCTCCGCTAACTTTCAAATTCTATCATGTAGCTTTTCTAAGAGTAATCTTACTCGTGTTATTTTACTAAATCAAATGATGATTTATCTAAAGGTAAGTTAGCCCTGGCCGATTTGGCTCAGTGGTTAAGCCATCGGCCCGTGGACCAGGGGGCCATGGGTTGGATTCCCAGTCAAGGGTACCTGCCTAAATTGCAGGCTCAATCCCAGCCCCGGCTGGGGTGTATGTGGGGAATGGCAGGTCCATGTGCCTCTCTCTTCATCGATGTTTATCTCCCCTTCCATTCTGTCTAGAAATCAATGCAAAAAATATCCTTGGGAGAGGATTAAAAAAAGAATTTTCTTAATAAAGGTAAATTAAAATAGGCATGAATCATACACTCATGATAATCAGGAACAAACATTCTGAGAACTGAAAAATGGCAATTAAAAAAAATACCTGATTTTTAAATGTATTTTAACCTCCTCAGGAACCCTACATAGAAATAGCAAATTGGACAGATCAGAATTTTGCCTCCCAAGTCCATGGCCATTCTGCACCCGGGGAGATAGTCAAAAGAAATAAATCTCTCAGAACGCAGGCTAGAGCAGAACCAAAGTGCTCAGGCAACTCAACTGGATAATCAGAAACTGGCTATAAATTTAAAACTCGCTACAATTCCATTAAATTCCTTTACAGCTCAGGGTCCTGGGTACATAATTTACACTGATGACTTACTGGTGAGTCACATGTGTATTCCATCGCTGCTACCCTGACATAATAGGGGCGAGCGATAGGGATGGGAGAGGCTATACATCACTATATCCCCCTCTCTTTTTTCATACGTTTGGCTGCAAAGCTCAGAAGTCATTTCCAGGACTTGAGAGCACCAGCAAATACAGCTGCTTCTGGGAAGAGCAGGAGGATGCTAGGGCAACAGCACTGGCCTTCTGGGGGAGCTCTCGGACCCCAGGGCTGGTCAAGCTGGCCCAGACAAGCACTTTTACTGCTGTGTTTGGAAGCAGCATTGTAACTGCCGGTATTCTTGTTGGGAAACCCAGTCTTTGGAAAGTGTTAACTCATCTCAAATTTTATGAGAATCTTTGCAAAAGCAGGTCTAGGCAGAGCCAAAATGTGAAGCATCTGTGCTAGACTTCAGTGCATATTCAGAATGTTCTTCCCCACCCACTTTTTCCCCTGCTAGTAGCTTCTTGGGATGGAAAAGAGAAAGAGATCTAATAAAGAAATTCCAGAACTACTTACACTTAAAAAGAAGACTTAAAAAGGAGACGAGGCCCTAGCCAGTTTGGCTCAGTGGTTAGAGCATCGGCCTGCAGACTAAAGAGTTCCAGGTTCAATTCCGGCCAAGGGCACATGCCCAGGTTGTGGGCTCGATCCCCCAAGTAGGGGACGGGCAGGTGGCAGCCAATCAATGATTCTCTCTCATCGTTGATGTTTCTATCTCTCTCCCTTCCTTTCTGAAATCAATAAAAAAAAAAATTTTTTTTAAAGAATAGTGTTAATCTGAAATCAATAAAAAAAAAAATTTTTTTTTAAAGAATAGTGTTAAAAAAATATGGATACTAGTGGTCAGCCCAAATGAGCCAGACTCATTGGAACTTTACTGAACCTCTAGCTAGGAAGGCATCCTTACGGTTCTAATTTTCCAAAATCCCATCCAGCAATCGATGTTATAAACTTTAATTTATATTCCTTAACTACTAGTAAATGAGCCTTTTAAATATTGGTTGGTTATATATATTTGCTCATTTTTCAACAGTCCCTTCCTATCTTTTACCCACTTCTCAACTAAAATGTCTTGGTTCTTTCTTGTTGGTTTGTGAGCGCACTTTGTATATTCTTACATGTACAAGAGGTGGATTGAAGTCCAGGTTATACACCCTCCCGCTAGGAGGGTGAATCCAGCGTCGGCTGAGACGATCTCTGAGTGTTTCAAATGGAATGTTCAGAGTGATCACAAGGTCCAGGTCACAGATTCTGTCTAGGGCTTCAGCCTGAACTAGTGTCATGGGAAAACCTAAACGCCAAACAAAACACAACAAATGCAAGACATTTCTCAATTCCAATTAGTCGCTGAAATATAACCTACTCCCAAAATTAATGAGAAGAAAACAGGCTACTTTCCAATGTGGTTCCAGCTCTTGGAGTGCTCGAGGACTAGGGAGTCACATGTTAAAAGTAGAAAGTGCACTAAACTGAAAGTCACTAGACAAGTCCCAGCTCCAGTGCCTGCTCTGGTCCTAACTACCTGTGTGACCTTGGACAAGTTACATCACCCCCATTTCCTCTTCTGTTAAAGAAGTGAAGGGTCAAAGCAGTATTTGTGCCCTCTTAGCTCTAAAAGTTTGAGTATATTATTCCTAAGTTACCATAAAAGTGTGTGTGTGTGTGTGTGTGTGTGTGTATGTGAGATTAAAGTAGGCTCTTTCACCCAGGCTTCATTGGAGCCTGTACCTTAACTAGGTGGCCAAAAGTCCATTCTCAAAAAGAACTGGTGGTCTTAAAACTATCTGGATACGGCAAAATTTATGAACCCAGCCTGGTTTTCCACAGGTGGGAAAACAAACAGCAAAATTGAATTCGGGCTCAAGCACATCTCTTCCCTTTTTTCTTAAAGGCAACCTCGGAGTTAGGTAACTGCAAATTATGTTCTCTCCCCCTCCCCTACCCCTGTCCCCAGGAATTAACCTGCATTAAATATTACTCCAAGTTTGGCTGGGGTGGGACTACACAGTGGTATATTTTATCCTAAAAAGAATCATTTCAGGCTGTTTGCTCCGTTAAAAACCTTTCTGTATCTGATATCAGTTGTTGTTGTTTTTTGTTGTCGTTGTTGTTGTTGTTTTAATGTCCTTTAAATTTTAGGAAAGGCAGGAGGGCAAAAGCTGAATGGGAATTATAACAGGAAGTGCAATCAGAAGATAATAAACTTTTTAAATCACTTCAGGTAAGGACACCAGCCTATCTCCACCTTTCCATCAGTGGAAATAACAAGATGACAATGTAAAGAAAGGTCTTTATGGCCCTGAAACACCCACTGTTCAAAGAACTCCTTTTCCTACTGCAGGAAGTCAGTTGTTCAATCATGAATGTCTTATGTTCTGTGTTGAAATTCTAAAGTGGTATGAATGTCAAGATTTTCAGAGTGCTTTATGAGTTAAATGTGATCAAATCCACCCAGCCTCAGGTACCAACCACTGCTGCAAACTCCAGTACTCGCCTCAAAGCCTTTCTTATCGACTGTCCATGAGGCCAGGCCCCTCTCTCCAAATCCCTCTCAGGCTGCTCATCAATCACCTTTCCCTTCTTGCCTCCTCTCCACATAGCAGGACTACGGGCTAAGTCATGGGTGAAATTCCTGCTTTTCCTCAGTCCTACATGTTTCCCAGTTGCAATCTAGCTCACCTGTCCCCAGAAATTCACTTTCAGGCTGCCCATGATCCAGTTGCCTTATCTACACTTCCCTCGTTTATTCTTCATTTGTCCATTATCAAATGACATGAAGCCCAAAGATGCCTTGGGCCACATCAACTTACTTTCGGTATCGCTCTCTGCAGGCCTCATTAGCTCTTTTTCTATCGTTGAAGGTGCCAAGGATACCTCTGCCATATCAAGGATACCTAGGCCTTTGCACTTGCTGTTCTATGCCCCAAATGTTCTTCCTGCAGATCTGACTCCTTATCATTTGGGACATATGTGCATATCTCTCAGGGAGACTTCTTGAACTAGTAAATTTAAAGTGGCCCCATTCTCCCTCTGGCTGGTTTGGCTTAGTGGATAGAGCTTCGGCCTAAGGACTAAAGGGTCCCGGGTTCAATTCCAGTCAAGGGCACATGCCTAGGTTGTGGGCTCAATTCCCAGTGGGAGGCGTGCGGGAGGCAGCCAATCAATGATTCTCATCACTGATGTTTCTATCTCCTTCTCCTTCTCCCTTCCTCTCTGACATCAATAAAAACACATTTTAAAACATAGCCCCATTCTCCTCCCATTTTCTATCTCATTGCTCTTTTTATTTTCTATTATTTATTACTATAAATAATTTTTTAGTATTATTTTCTATCCCTACATCACTTCCTGAGAAAAGGGACTTTTGATCATTGCTATGCCCTCCTTAAAATAATCAACACAGATGGGCAAATTAGTATATGGCCATATTTCCAAAGTTTATGCCCTGTTAAACTTGCTTATATTTATTATAGGGTTGCAGTTACATATTGGGTTTACAGAGCTCAAAAGAGTCATATAATTTCATGGAATTAAATTAGGATTTTACAATGAGTTGGACTGGTCAAATGCGTATGGTCACCGAATGGAAAATTGGAAGACAGCTACCCTAGTGTGACATTCAAATATTGGCAAATCTGAGTCACAATAAGTACAGAAACAAGAAAAAAAAACAGTCAGGAATTTCATAGCAATTCTAAGGTCAGTTCAAGTTATTAGGACTTGAATTTTTTCTTCTTCTCCTTTTTTCTAGCAATTTGTTTTTATTATATTTGACCAAAGGGTTGTTTTGCAATGGATTGGGGGAAAATAAAACTGAACTTTCACTACAGATAGCTTGTTCCAGATTTCCCTTGGAACTCCCTTTCTAATTTCTCCAACGAGGGAAACTATCCAATGGCACTAGCATATAACTTTTGATGGTGTTTATTACAGTAGGGATATAAATTAAGTTGCATCTCTTCCCCCAAAAAAGACACAACAACAGAGTGAACTAAGCGTGCAGTATGTTCCAACACTATTCTTATGACAAGGAAAGATAGAACAAGTTCACACAGAGGTGGGGAAAGGCTTATCTTGCAGGTAACATCTCAGTTCACTGGTTTTCATGTGCCTGACCCAAGGTATACACGTGTTCCCTCTACGCAAAACGGCTGTTCCAGCCTTGCAGATAGCATCAGAAGGAACTGCTTTCATGTCCTCATAGCTATCCTCTTCTGACCCAGCTTGCATTCAGGCTGGTTTCTACACAGAAATTCAACAGAGACCTTGTGTGTCTCATCTTGTAGCACCCAGTCACACTGCCTCTGGCTAAGTATCCCCCTCATATGAAGGCACCCACACATTGGGAAATTGTGCTGGAAAGTATGTTCATGGTGGCTTTCCTTTGCAATGAAAAGATGGGTGATTCCTTTCTACTCTTCTACACTTTTTTTTCTAATTGTGAATATAGTGTTTTCAGAATGGGGGAAAAAATGGTGCCTTTAAATAAAGAATTGTTGACTATGCCTGGCTGGCATGGCTCAGTGGTTGAGTGTTGACTTATGAACCAGGTCACGGTTCTTCAATTTCCAGTCAGGGCACATGCCCGGGTTGCAGATTTGACCCCAGTGTGGGGCTCTTTAGAGTGGGGCGTGTAGGAGGCAGCCGATCAATGATTCTCTCTCATCATTGATGTTTCTATCTCTCCCTTCCTCTCTGAAATTAATGAAAATGTTTTTTTAAATTTTTTCTTAAAATAAGAATAGCTAACTTTTAGATTTTTAAAAATCTCAACATAATTTCTATTAGATCCAGTTATAACTACCTGGCATTGAGGGAAGTGAAAGGTCAAATCGTATTTGCCCAAATCAAGTACACCATTGGCCTTAAAGCAGTTTCTTCTGCTTTAAGGTAGCAATGCCTGGCACACAGTGGGCCAACATTTGAATGTAACACTAGGGTAGTTGTCTTCCAGTTTTCCATTCAGTGACCATACTTATTTGACCAGTCCAACTCATTTTAAAACCCTAATTTAATCCCATGAAATTATATGACTCTTTTGAGCTCTGTAAACTCAATATATAACATTATTTCTAATATGGAATGGTTTGACTGATTTAAATATCAATTTATTAAACAACTTCTCTGATTATTAAGTTTAAAAACAAATTGAATTTTATAATTGGGGCTTTATAGCACCTAGGTGTGTTCTTGAGCCCCAGACATATAATAACTACCAGGAAGACAGCAATGTAATTCTGTCTGAGTTATCAAGAGATGATTTGGACCCACGTGGACCCTCAGGGCTCAATTCAATCTATGGTTACATAGACTGGAGAGTGGGGAAAGAGTCTCATAAGAGTCCAGAAAAAGCCATGCCTCCTTTATCTTTCCCAGAAAATACCTTTACAATATTACACACACACACCCTCAACCAGATCATTTCAACTACTTCTTCCCCCAACAGCTCGCTAGATCCGGGATTGGGGATGCCAGAGAGAGAACATTGGGAGCAGGTGTGGGCACTAGACTATCAGTGGTCGGCAAACTCATTAGTCAACAGAACCAAATATCAATAGTACAACGATTGAAATTTCTTTTGAGAGCCAAATTTTTTAAACTTAAACTATATAGGTAGGTACATTGTTATTAACTTAATTAGGGTACTCCTAAGGCTTAGGAAGAGCCACACTCAAGGGGCCAAAGAGCCGCATGTGGCTCAGGAGCCGCAGTTTGCCGACCACGG